ATTTGAATGAAATCTGTGACCTGCTGTAAGAAATGATCAATGTTGCCCCCCAACTTGCAGTGTTCTCAATCCCTGGTTCAAGACTTGAAATGGATTGGACCTGTTTGGCCAGGTGTGGACCAGGCCCACGCTGTGCAGACGGAGAGCAAACATGGGGAGCGTAAACATGCACCAAACAGCCCTCCCCCCCGTCCGTCCGTCCGCCCTGCGTGTTTGCGTTGACCTTGACTGTACATTTGCAAAAGAGCTCCCTCTGCTGCCCCCCTGCTGCCGTTGTAATGTTTACTCTTTGATATCTATGTACTGAAGGGGTCAGATATATTTCTAGAGCAGAATTTGGATTTTATGCAAACTGTGGATGCGTTTTTGTCCTGTTATTAAAGCAATAAACCTGAAAAAAAAATGTCCTAATTATGATGCAACAATTATTAGAATGATTAAATGTGTTAAGGTTAGATCAGGTATGGGCAAACTATGGCCTGGGGGCCAGGTGCGGCACGTTCAGCTTTTTAATGCGGCCCGCAAAACTTGTGCAAATTATTATCATTATGCTTTGGTCTTTTCCCTGCAATGCCCGCAGTCTTTTCCCTGGAATGCCCGCATTTCTCCAATAGATGGCGTAGAAAAGGCTATTAGTATTTTAGCCTTTATGAAGGACTTTTACATGTCATTTATTTATATAACGCTCCGTCTATCCTGCTCTTCACCCAGCCCTCTTATCCAACTCTTGACACACCAAAACGAAGCTAACTTTTTCCTTCTACTTTATTTATTTAGTTATTCTTCATTTGGGTCATCATTTGGATTAGTCACATACACAAACAAACATCTACCTGCTGTTGTTCGTCTTTTATGTTACGGCAATATACAGAAAACAAGGGTTTTGTCATATTTACAATTGTTGGAACATCTGGATTAATCATGATTAATTTATTCGATCACAATTAATTGTGATCAACCCACGCTACCCCACGATTAATCATATTTAGCCCTAGTTTATACTTTCACCTAGACGCTCTTTTACACTTTTTTTTTTTACAATGAAGCTATTTGTGATGTGTGAAGTTATGGCTTTTTTAACTGTACAATGTGAATATACACAAAAATATTATGTATTCATTGGATACTTTGAATACATAAAGATGTATAATTATGTTTATTATGTTTTTTTTAGTTTATTTTGGCTATATTTGGCATTATACCGAAAATTTCGTGAGCTCAGATTTAAAAAAAAAAATTCTGCGATGTACTGAGGGAACGCAAGCAGAACCGCAATGTAGAGAGGGAACACTATATACATATACAAAATATTTATATACAGTATATTTATATATACATAAATATATATAAATATATACACATACATACACATATATGTGTATATATATATATATGTTTGCTCGTTAAGTATATTTATATATGTGTATTTATGTGTATTTAGATTTATTTATATATATATATTTATATTTATGTATATTTATACATATATATTGAAATACTTTCCAGGGAGAAACAAAGACTACAGCCAGAAGTGACAAACAAGTACCATGTCCATCAGTGCTGCTCTACGCTCTGTTGTTCTGCAGCGAGGCTATGAGACATCTGTTGTATTCAGACACTTGTTTGGAGACATTCTTGGCCACTGATGCGAAGTCGCTCTCCTGGGATTTAGAAGCGATGACTGATGGGATAGTTGAGGAAAGATCAGGAGTTCAATGTAGGAATGATTTCTGACCTGCAGCTTAGCATCCTGTTATCAGTGCACAACACACACAACACACAAACACACAAACAGTGAAGGATACCCTCTTTCATGACAAAGTTGTTCTGCTCCATGTGCTGCCACTTTCTCTCCAGGTTCGCCAGCTACAGGGAAACAAACCACTTGATTAGCACAGTGTTTCCCAACCTTTTTTGAGTCACGACACATATACAAAAGAGAAATGTTTAGTTAGATTAGATTCAATTAGATCCAATTAGATTCGATTTGAAAAAATTCAGTTAGATTAGAATGAATTAGAATAGATTAGGTCAGAGTAGGTTAGAGTGTTTCTGCTCGCATGAATTTGGAGGATATTAGATTAGAATGGATCAGATTAGATTACGCTGGAGTTGAGTGGATTATTTTAGATTGGATGAAGTTGGACGATATTAGATTAGAATAGATCAGATTAGATTACGCTGGAGTTGACTGGATTATTTTAGATTGGGTGAAGTTGGAGGAGATTGAATTAGAATAGATGAGACTAGATTAGACTGGAGTAGGTTAGATGATTTTAGATTGGATGTCGGAAGTTGGAGGAGATTAGACTAGAATAGATCAGATTAGATTACGCTGGAGTTGAGTGGATTATTTTAGATTGGATGAAGTTGGAGGAGATTGAATTAGAATAGATGAGACTAGATTAGACTGGAGTAGGTTAGATGATTTTAGATTGGATGTTGGAAGTTGGAGGAGATTAGACTAGAATAGATCAGATTAGATTACGCTGGAGTTGACTGGATTATTTTAGATTGGATGAAGTTGGAGGAGATTGAATTAGAATAGATTCGACTAGATTAGACTGGAGTAGGTTAGATGATTTTAGATTGGATGTTGGAAGTTGGAGGAGATTAGACTAGAATAGATCAGATTAGATCAATTAGATTAGAGATGCACTAGATTATATTAAAATAGATCAAATTAGAATAGCTCAGATTAGGTTAGGTTAGATTAAATTAGATTAGGTTGTTGTACTAGATTATATTATAATAGCTCAGATTAGATTAGGTTAGATTAAATTAGATTAGGTTGGATTAGAAAAAAACAAGATTAGGTTAAATCAGATTAAATTAGATTGGATTAGACCAATTAGATTAGAGATTGACTAGATTATATTAGAATAGCTCAGTTTAGGTTAGGTTAGATTAGATTAAGATCAGATCAGTCCGATCCCAACATCGCAGTAAGGCCACGAAGAGACAAGGGCGTCCCTCTCACCTGAGCGTGGGTCTCGTTTTCCTGCAGTTTGCTCTTCAGGCCTTCGTTCTTCTGCTTCATCTCATCCAACAACTGTTTGAATGAATCTCTGCGCGTTGTCAGGGACACGCGCTCCATCTGCAGCCGCTGCACCGCAAACAGAAAAACACAGGGCTTTAGGCTGTGAGCTAGCATGTAGTCCTTATCTGGTCCGTCAACGTCGACTGCGTAGCCGTGTCCTGTTCACTAACTGCACCTCCAGTTCGGCTGACGTTACCTTCTTCTTCTCCTCTGCTGAGAATTTCAGAGAGTCCAGGTCTCTATAGCTGCGCAGCTCAGACTCCATGGTGCCGATGCGCTCCTTCAGGCTGCTCAGCTCTCCCGTGATCTTGCCCTCCAGCTGCTGCACCTTCTCCAGGTCCTGCTGCAAACGCTGCGACTCTGGGTGTGGAGACAGGAATAAAGAGTGGGCCTCCCGCATAATTTGGATCATGTAGCCCCCACCCCCAAAAATGATAGAATTCGAAGTCATTTTAAGCAGAGGTGGAAAGTAACAAATTACATTTACTCACATTATTGTAACTGAGTACTCTTTGTGAGTAATTTGTAATTTTTAAAATATGCGGCGGGAAAACAATCTGCGTTAATTGAAAGAAAATTGCGTGGGCTTGCGTGCGCGGATTTCCCACTATTTTAATGTAGCCAGAGAACGTTGAATAAGATGAACGTTGAATGGTGGCTGTTGCCGAACAAAAAAAAAAAAAATTGGAAAATTAGATTGGAAGTATGACTTGTCCATTTTCGCATCAAGTAAATTAAAGTAACTAACTTTTACTTTTACCTTTTTTTTTTACTTTTTTTTTACTTTTACTCGAGTAGATGTTTAGATGGGTACTTTTACTTGAGTAAAGTGTACTTTTTCCACCTCTAATTCTAAGTCAATTTTAGTCCATTTTTCGAGGTGGAAAAAGAAAACCAGAAGTCTCCTGTAGGTGGTGCCACCTCTACACTCTGAATACAAGAAATCCTGAAAAATGCTTTGAGCGTGTGCTCCCGGTACAGCTTAAATTGTGAGGACATTTTGGTGATACTTTTGGTGACGGGAAAGGTATTTCGAGATTCACAATTTTTTTTTTTTTAAATTGGATTAGATCAGAATTATAGGGTCACATTAAAGTTAGTGTGATGGGCTGAGGAATATGAGTCTGTGGGGAGTGTTCAAGAACATAACAGCGCGCGTGTGTGTCACTGACCTGTTGTCAGTCCCTTGGCCGTGCTCTCTGATTGGACCACTTCCGTTTCCTTGCTGACCAGCATCTCCTGCATGTTCTTCAGTTCGCTGGCAGTGACCGTGTCCACGTGGCGTAGTCTTAACATGCTCTACACACAAACACGGTAGTCCTCATCAACTTTAGGTCTAATATTTTCCTTTTAGTCCCTCTAATCACCCCCTCCCCCCTCCCATCTTTCTTCCTCTTACCCTGCTGCTGTGTTCCAGGAGGGAAACAATATCCTCCTGACTGTGTGTCATTTTCTCCTGCAGCTGAGCACTAGTCTCCTCGAATGACTCCAAAAATCCTGCATCGAAGGGAAAACAAAAAAATATATATATATATATTGACATGTTTTATTAGCAGCGCGCTCTCAGACTTGCAATGAACGACCAAAAACTGGAAACACGAGAATTTGACTTTAGGGACCTCTTGTGGCCACGTGTTAAAATGCGGGGTTTTATTATAGTGCGGTGTCACTGGTTGGAAAAAAAAAAAAAAAAACAGGGACTAGGGGCTCGAGGTTAAAGCTGCGTAAAAGTATATGTAGGACAGGAGGGTGAGGATTGATGATATATGAGAACGTATTCATCCGCTCCGTCCACACGGGGCATGTTTTAACGGCATATGTCGGAATTAAAGACTTTCTTTTTCCTAAATTTGTGGGAGAGGGTGACGTAACCACAAAGCGCTGTAGGTCGAGGACGTCATAAACCTGATGAAACTTGTTTTGTTTTTGTTTCTGATTTTGATTTTGTTTTTGTCGTGTTTTTACGTAACATACCGTCGTAAGACGTAGACCTGAGAAACACATTCGGGAATTTACACTTACGGTCGATTTCTTCCTCCTTCTTTTTTAACTCCTTGTATTTTTGTTGACACTCCCCTGAAAAGAAAACAGAATCGCATAACTGTCGGGTCAATGTTGAAGTATTTCAAACGACACGCTACTGCTCCTTAAAGCTACAGTGTCTTAGCGTGCTAAAGTTAGAGCTAATAGACCAGATGATGATGCTAAAGGTTACAGCATTCAAACGGTGACATAATCAGTCGACTGTTTTACCCTGAGCTTCCTCCGAGTCCTGCTCCAGCTGCTGGATCTGATCTGTGATTTGTTGGGTCCTGTCCCTGATCTCCGTCAGCCTAAAAAACCAAACACATTAGTTATTAGTTATAAGTCTTTACTCCATAAGGAAATACTGCATATGAGTACTTACTGTTTATCCAGATTTGCAATTTCCTGATTGTCTTCTTTTACCTGAAAAAAAAAATGGATTTAACTTTTCTAAATTTCAATAAATATATATTGTTTTACAAATATGGCCAGTAAACACAAACAAACCTACTGTATATTAGTTTGGACATTAAGACCACCTCCCTTCTTGGTCTGTGTCGTGATGCTCACCTGTTTGAATAATTTCTCCCTCTCCTCCTGCGGTGAGCCCAGGTTCTTTTGCTCCGCCTCCATGGCGTCGCGCTTCGCCTCCTGTGTTGACAGAGTCTCGTAGAGACGAACCACTTCCTGTTTCAGCTGGGAGTGAGCCAGCTCCTGCACACAATGACGTCAGATGTAACGCAGGGCCGGAATTTTTCTGAACAGACACCCTGTGATCTGGACTATAAAAAAAAATCACATTACTGTCAAACATTATTATTTGATGTTGGTTTCGGAATCCAATCGCGCGCCATACAAATTTTGACAAATTTCTACTTAAATGTTCCACACTCCATCCCCCATTTTTTTTTTTTTTAAACTCACTGCTTCATAGTCCTCCTTCTTGGTCATCAGAACATCTAGCTCCTCCTGAAGAGCAGAGAGTTCCTGCAACACAAAGGAGGTGTCAGAAAAAGGAAGAGGTAAAAAAAATAAAAGGAACACGAAATGCTTCAAACCCAAAAGTTTTATACTACACAAAAGCAGTAATGTTAACTATTAACTTAACAAGTGTTATGAAGGTCTAACTTCCTAGGTTATAAATATGGCTTTCAACAGAATTAAATATAAATCTGATGAGGTAAACTGTCTAAATATGACATTACTGAAACAGAAAGACAAATAACAGCAGGTTGGTGTTTGTGTTTCTCACTTGTTTTTAATTTGCGACTGGAATTATTACGATGTAAACTGCCTCAAAGAACCAACAACATACACGTCTAGTAGTAATAACACACTGTCACTGTGGTCAGACACTTGTCATACCTGCAGCATTTCCTCATTGGTCGAGGCCATGGTAAAATACTTCTCTTGCTTTGCAGCTGGCATTGATTGGACAACCTCGTCAGCGACCTGCCTTTCTCTCCTGATCTCCTCCTCGATGGCCCTGACCGCCTCCTCTCTCCTGTAAGGCAGACACAACGGAGGCAAATGTTGACACATCATTCATACATACATGTATTTATGTATGCCAGAGGTGTCAAACATACGGCCCACGGGCCAAAACCGGTCCTCTAGGGCAGCGGTCCCCAACCTTTTTTGTGAATCTGGTCATTTTTCAAAATTAAAAAATTGTCCAGAATCAGATAATAAATAGAACAGAAATAATGTAAGTTATGCATTCTTTCTGTGCGGCCCGGTACCAATCGACCAACAGACGGGTGCCGGTTCCAGACCCGGGGGTTTGGGTACCGCTGCTTTAAGGTGTTTAATCCGGCCCGCTTGAGAATTTATTTCATTTTTTTTTTTTGTAAAATTATATTTCATTAAATATGAGTAAATTATAATAAATATCTAATATACTTGTACTTCTTTGCATGAAAACAAAGGGGGTTATGATTGTACTGCTCCGGTCAAACTGATATTTACAGTACAAGGGGGCAAAGGTTGGATGGCATTAAGTAACTGACTCACAACCCGTTTTTGCTAGCCAACACCTCATTCTGTGGAGCCTTTTATTCTCTTTTATTATGAAAGATAAACTCACTCCCGCCCCGATCTTTCTGATCTTCTCCAATGTTTCCTTGTACAATAGTTGTTAAATTCACTTAAATCTTTCAGTGGAAATCAATCATCTAGGTAAATAAAATTTTAGCTCATGCGTGGGTAAGAAGAAAATGTCATCAATTACAGATGCTTGTCCTGTATTCACAGTGTGGGCCTTTGTGCCATTGTGCTTTACAACAAGGAACAAAGTTCAGTTGCTGCGTTGGCTGCGTCCGGGAAATAGGTGAACAAAAGTTCATTACAGCCTCTGTGGGAACACAGGTACGTTTCTTCGCTATTTCACGGGTAGGCTGAAATACATGTTTCTTTATGTTAAACGGACGTGATTGAATACTAAATCAATTTAAATCTTTTTTTTTTAATTATTACTATTATGAACAGCTGCTGTTAAGATGTCATGGTATGGGGTCATTTAGATTTAGTATTTGCATGAAGTAAAACCTTCAAACTGTTCATGTTTCACAAGCGGTCATGAACCAGTAGAAATATTCCAAGATCAAAGTCTTATCTGGGGTTTAACAGCGTAAATCATTGAGTGTACATCTTTAATGGAAATGACGTGATACTATCGGCAGAGATTTTTACGGTCAAAATTTTACATAATGTTAAGACTTTTTTTTTAATTTTCTATCGTTCCTGTCCTCGTGATACTTTGTGTCAGAAGCTTATCTGGGGTTTAACAGCGTAAATTATTGAGTGTACATCTTTATATACAAACATCAACTGTGCTAATGTAAATGACGTGATAGTATCGGCTGAGATTTTTTTGGACATTTTTAAATTTTCTATTGTTCCTGTCCTCGTGATACTTTGTGTCACGTTAGATTGTGGCGGCCATTAAAAAGCCACAAAACGCCTCCTGGGAAACCAGGGGTCTATTGATTAACTCACAAACTTTCACGACCCAAGTCTTGCGACCCACCTGAGGGCCGTGACCCAGTCTTTGGGAAACAACGCGCTACACTATGGCACCTCAAATGTGGCAATACATTGAAAAGGGTCCTTTAAATAACAATCTAAAAACCAGAAGCATGTTTAGAACTGGCTTGCATCCCATTTTCGGAAATCGAGCATGAAATTCCTTTTGTTGAAAATTTGAATCTTAAGTAAAGCAAACATTTGTTTTCTTTTTCCAGGTTAAGATGAAGCCGAGTTGCGGACAAACGGTCCTACTGCTGTGGTCCTCTGCAGTAATTCTCTACTCTGCAGCCTTTGACATAATGGAAACGGCTGAGGTACCAACATGATTCAACAATATGGACACTGTTCACAGTGTCTGACTTTGTGCAAGCTTATAATGTAGCAATAACTGTTCACCTTTACGTCCACTAGGGGGTAGACTTTTCCAACAAGTCCCTGCAGGCGATTCCTCTTAACGTCAACTGTTCTGTTAGTAAGCTGGTGATTGACCAGAATTTGATAACTTTAAATGAAACGGACCGGAAAGCCCTAGCCAGTTATCCTGAACTGACAGAACTTTACTTGGATGAAAACATGGTGACTGCAATACCAGCCGAGTACTTCTCAGTGGTACCAAACCTCACAGTTCTGTCCCTCTCCAGGAACAAAATAAGTAGGTAAATTAAAAAAAAAAAAAACTCTTATCAGTGTGACATAATAAGTGATAATTATTAAGTCAGACTAGAGCTGAATATAGAAATAACGTGTCACATCATTTATTCACAGCCTTGATCCTGAAGCTCTGTCAGGCCTTGGTAATCTGAAGGAGCTGGACTTGTCCGATAATCTGCTGACTAGCCTACCCACAAACTTTACCAGAGGGATAAACACACTAAAGGTAAAGCTGTCAGTTTTTTCGCAATGATCAGGAACAGTGGAGAAAAACAACTGTATGCTTGAGTATTGGGGCCCTATTGAGGATGAAAAAGAAAATTAAAATTAAAAAAAAAAAAATTAAATTAAAAAATTAAAAAGTGAAAGCATATTCACGGGTTTATGAGAAAAACGTAACAAGAAAAAAAGTCATATTTTTATAACAATTAAGTTGTATTGATTAGAATGTAAAAAGACGACAAATATATTTTACGATTATTAAGGTGATGCTGTGGTGATGTGATGTGGAATTGGAAATGTATATATACTCTATATATACATTTACATATATACATACTATATAACTGTACATTTTCTATTTATTATTATTTATGTATTTTGTATGTTTACTGTAGCTTGATTGTTGATTGACTGACTCAAATTGGAAGTCCCTTTGGATAAAAGTGTCTGCTAAATGTATTGTAATGTAATGTAATGTAATATACAGTATATTTATATATAATATCTCAAGATTCTTCACACACTTACATTCAAATATACATTCTCATAAAGGTGTGACTTTGCTCTCGTAAATGTACGCATTTATTCTTGATATTTTTGCAATCTCAATGTGGCCCTAATACTCATAATCTTAATTTTATTTTTCGATTTTGTGATAGTGATGTATAAGAAAAGATAAGTCCTAAGATAAATTAAGTTGTTTATTGGTCCCACAACGGGGACAGTCACATTTCATTTTCTTTGTTAATTTTTCACTGCCACGGCCAGTGTAAATCAACAACTATTATTAATATTCATACTAATATTTATATATACATATATATTTATTTTCACTGAGACACGATCTTTATCAGATTAAAGAGTAGACTTTACATTGTGAAGGTTTTTTTTCCTTCAGACAAGTTATTGTTTATTGACAACCAGCTAACCCTAGCTGCTCCAATTAGGTGCTGAGGCTAGACGGAAATGCCTGGAATTGTTCCTGTCCTCCACTGCTTGGCATTTACGAGGTCATCGTGGCCAACATTATCCTTGGTAAGCATTATATGCTAAAAAATTTTTTTTTATTTTTTTTTTTATGATTTAGCATTTACTAACTTTTAAGGCTCGCCTATTGGGTTACTAAGAATGAGGAATGAATTCTTTGTGATTAGATAAACTTAATTTCAGTTATGGGATTTCTTGTTGACAAAGTTTTAAGTGGTGTTCAACACCTTGGTTCAACTACAGTATGTACTGCACATTTTGTTTGCAAATGACTGACATTAAAACACATCACTTAAATTTAGTGAGTAAGTAAGTCGGTTAATTCAGAAATTCACTAACAAAAGAAATGTCATGCTACAAGTTGATTTGTGGATTAGGAATGCCTCGATCTGACACTCAGGATCGGTATTGGTCAAAATGTTAGGATCAAACATCGATTAAAAAAAAACAACAAAAAAAACTATAGCCCGTCCAATCCAATTCCTAAGCCCAAATGCTCAACTCAACTTTGCGCGACATGCCGTAAACAGTGACGCTACCACCCCAGCAACGGCACCAAAGGAGAAAGGAAGGTATCGGATTAGTATTATTATCTGCAGAAATTCCAAGTTGCAGTATCGGTATAGGACGTAAAAAAAAAAAAGTTTCATAGAGCCACCCCTAGGATACTTCAAATTTCCTTTCGTTTTCTGTACGTGTGATATTTGTCTTTACAGGAGAACAAGTCACCTGTGCTTCTCCAGAAAACCAGAACGGAAAGAATCTGTCAATTGCTGCAGCCGCATGTTACTCATTACCATCAACCACCTCTACAACTATATCACAAACAACACCAATCACCACGGTGACCACTCAACAGCCTTGGACGTCTTCGGTACCGGAGACCACACAGTCGTCCACTACTAACCAGAGTCGAATCACAGGTACGTGACCATTTCTTTCTTTCCCTGAACGTCAACATATGGCCCCACTTTGAAGAAAACAAACCTAACGATACGACCCATCCCCCACTAGACCAGACGGCTGTGGCGGGAAACTCGTGGAAGTTCACAGCTTCCGTTTTGGCCTTGGCGCTGACTACCACCATTCTGATCGTATGTGCCATCAAGGGGCCGTCCTTGTACAGGCTTTACCACGACTACCGCCATCAGCGGCTCGGGGAGGACTTCGAGGACGAGGAAGACAACGTTGCGTCGACAGACTTCCCGCGGTTCCAGCTCAGCCACAAGACGTTCTCCTTTACGCAAGACAGCTGGCAAGTGGACGGAGAGGAGGATGAGGAGGAGGTGTATTTTGAGGATCCGTACGTAAGAAGAGATGAGAGACAAGAAGTAGGTGCAAATGTGGCAGGACCATAAGAAAACCCCCGTAGAAATTTGGACATTTCGCCTCTAACAAAGACAAGATCTCTCTGTTACACATACATTTAGGTTCATTTGTTCACAGATGCAACAAAAACCTCTGAGATAAAAAAAAAAGAATCAAATCATTTAGGATTTTATTGTTCCCACTAATATGAATTAGAAACTCATACTGATAGTTTGTAGTGGCTTTCAAGATTTGAATTTTTGTTGTTTGTTTGTTTGGTTTAATTACCATAATTGATTTCATTTATACTATTTCCACACCTGAATATAAGCCGCACCCAGAAAAGAAAAAAAAAAGTACATATATAGGCCGCACTTCTCTATAAACCACAGGTGTCCAACTTGTAACATGGGATATTTACAAAGAAAGATTTATTTTTTTTTTTTTACTTTTAATTAAATAAATGTTTTTTTCTAAGACGGCTGGTTACACGTTAGCTCTTTCCTGCTTTGGCGCCCCAACCGTAGTTGGAATGCACAGGCAAGACTTAGTGATCTGGTCCAGAGCCAAAGCTAACATTAGCTCCGGGGCTAACTCCCATGACAGGGCTCAAACTGCTCTCAATTATTTTACTTACTCCCTTCTCTCTGTGAAGATACGGTCGATGCTCTCTGCTTCTCTGTTGTTCTGAGCTTTCAGCTGAAAGAACAGGGAGAGGAAATGGCAGCAACGATGACAACCCTTACTGTGTTATTTTTTTTTTTACCGCAAATTGATTTGAGTTTTGTGCTTAAACGTTACCATCGGGGACTTACAATGTTGTAGTCGTTGATCATTTCCTCCATCTCAGTGTTTGTGTTGAGCTTATCCACCAGCTGCAGACAAACACAAAGTTGTTTGTAAACTATTTTTAGTCAGTGTCTAACCGGAGAAAATTAGAGATGGGTGTGTAATAAACAGAGACGATCAAAGCAGTTTACCATGTTGTAGTCAGCAAGCTGGCCTTGTAAATCTTTGATCTCTGCAGCCATTCCTTCAGCTCTGGGGGACAAGAACACACCAGAGGTCCGGTCATTTTTGCTCAGAGCATCATTTAATGTCGAGTAACAAAAACAAAATATATATATATATATATATATATATATGTATATATATATACATATATATATATATATATATATATACATATAAATATATATATATATATATATACATGTATATATATATATTACTCACCTCTTTTCATAGGAGAGATAGACTGAGTTCTCCTGATTGTAGTTATCAATCTCTTTGTGCATTTTACTGGTCTCTGTAGTCAACTCAGTGATCTTACTCCTACGTGATAGCAACAATATTCATTAGTATCAGCAAAGGTCGTGTTTTATTTTTTAATGAAATTTCTCAACAGTAATTATCATACACATGTTGCCATGGGTTAAATAAAAAAAGGGAAATTTATCATTATCCACATGCAGATGAATGTTGTTTTTTGTTGTTTTTTTTTCATGTGTTACCTGAGAAGCCCTAAATAGTAGGACTTATCCAGTATCTGCCTCTGGGGTCCTTTTGTGCATGAGGGGAAAAAATTAAATTTAAAAACGAGGAATGTAAAGTTCTCAATTGATACAGCGATAGGTTTTCTAATCATATGCATTTTTAGGGACCTTTCATTCCAGTCTTCATTCCGCTGAGCCCTTGTTGGGTTACAGGCCTGTCTGTCACTCGGATCTGTGCCGACAGGACTCCAGGCGTGGCAATTGGGATTCCAACCCTCATACCAGGATGACCGCTGGTACCTGGAACCATCTGTCAAAGAAGAGAAACAATAATTTTATTAAATAATTACTTGTTTTGTTTGTTTGTTTTTTTAAAAAAAAGGTATCAGAAAGATCGAGTCATGTATAGATAAAAATGGCAGAGTACAAGTGTAGTACAAGTAAATGAACAGCCTGATTTCAGTTATTTTATGACATCATTTTCACATCTTGATGTATTTATCCAGCGTCTATACCCTTATCAATATAAATAATTACCGTTCAGCAGTAACGGCTGACCGGCCCTTGATACAAAAAAGGTTGGGGACCACTGCTTTAAACAAAACAGTCCAAAGTCTGGCCAGAACTAAGAAGAACAAACTTCATATAGCCCGCAACCTGTCATAAAATGAAAGTATAAAAAATGCAATTTTATGGTTCACCATAAGATGGCAGCTGCATAGAGTACCCAAGGACTAAGGACTGTAAGTTTTTATAAGGAATATCAAGAGACACTACCAGTTGAGTCATGCTAACACATACCGCAATCTTTAAATAAACATGACACTACGCCACTCTCACTCAACACAATAATGTATTAATCCCATAACATAATATAATAATATACCCCAGTTGCAACGCGTATGGCTGTAGGAGGCGGTCGAACTGCAGTCGGGGGTCTTCCGGATCCGCTTCGGCTCATTGGACGACCGATACTTGACGAAGGGCGCTGGCTTGCCATGGTGTCTGAAGCACGGCACCGCTATGGACATGAATAACACAAGTGGCACATCAGTCATTTGGGGATGCGGAGAGGAAAATAACATAAGAACAACACAATACAGTATGTATTACACAAACAAATAATGAAATATTTCATAATCATTTCTTGACAATATGGATATTTTTGAGGAGTCGTAATCATCTTCCAATAATAATGGGTTCCCGTTCATTTTTCTCGTACAGGGAATAATAATATAGATTTATTTAACATAGCTGGTGGCGCTTTGGCCCAGAGGCAATGTCTCTGTCCCAGAATTCACCTCCTGGGCAAGTTCGAATCCCGATTAGCTGAATAGCTGAAATTCATTGACTTAAAAAAAACAACATGCATCTATTAGTTGTTTTGTCCCAGTACTGTCAGACGGACAGCTAGGTCTAATAATTCTGAAGCCAAATCTTAAACTTTAAAATGTTTAATGTTTAAATGTTCGGCCTTTAATTTTTCTCTTTGGCAGTTAAACCAAATTAATTTAAAATACTGCCATTAGGTTTTGCCGTCTGCCTTGTATAGATAGCACTTGAAAAGAACAAAAAATCATTTAAATTTTTGTTCTAAGTTTTATGGTGTAACTTTTCAACACTAACCAAACGAACGCATAGAAATGGAAGATTGCTCAAATGCACAGTATCATTGCGAGGTATAATTGCAACACGTGGCTTCTTAAAGGTTCTCAAAGGCTATGTAAGTAGCGCGAATTATTTGCATTATTCTTATTTACTCGAGTTTACTATGGGTAGGTTGTGGTAAAAAATTATAGCAGTTTTGCTAGCTAAGAATAGCGAGCATGCGTTGTATCTTTAAATAAACTATCCTTCCTTTTTTTGTTAAAATGGTGTAATCTAAAAAACCGGCTGCGATTTATAAAAGTCCTACCTGGGAGCGGAAATAGGACAAAACCTTAACAACCTCAGATAAAATAAACACCCACCCGTAAGTCCGGTTGTTTACGGTTCTTGTAACCAAGAGACAGGTCTTCCTCTCTTTACTTAAACGAACCATGTGTAACAGAAGACTAGTCTGCCCCCCATCGTCCGTAGAGAACATTACACATAGACCATAAATAAAAGTCGACGCTGCTTCACCTCACTCTGGTTTAAAAAACGTACATGCCGTCATCGTTATAGTGGCGTTAACGTACAACTACTTTTTCAAATTGATTTTGTTTGTATTTATGTTCTTGACAATATTTTTATTTATACCTCATAGTATTCGTGTAATCCGTTTACCAGGGCACGGACCCAGGGTATTAGCCACAGGTTGTGATGCTAGCTAACCGTGGACATATGGAGTAGCTGTTTAAAAGCGCTTTTAACATGTGTTTTTACAAATCACTTGTTTGTGCTGGGAGTAACATTTTCGTCGAATTATCTTAAGTGGGGATAATAAAAATATATGAAGGCTGACACTGTGTGCAACACTTATTATCATGATTTTTCGTGATATTGTAACCGTGGGGATGTAGCTCAGTGGTAGAGCGCATGCTTTGCATGTATGAGGCCCCGGGTTCAATCCCCGGCATCTCCAGATTTTTTTTTTGTGAGTTGCCATTTTTTCCAGAGTAAGACTAAAATTCCCTTTAAATTTGAGCTCTGTTCTAAACAAAACTATCGAATTTAGGGATTTGTAAATTGGTTAATTCATGCAAATATACCTCTGTAGAGGTTGAGATTCCTTCCGTTGGCATATATGCAGGAAGCATTTTATTGAAAACAACTACTGCTAAAATGGGTGAATTAATCAATTAGCAAACACAACAATGACTATGAAATTAGACTTGCATGGCTTAATCTTTGAGACAAGCATACGCTACTGGCAGGATCAACCAGGTAGCCTCCCCGGAGCTGCACTCGGCTGCGAAAAGGAATATGTGGTTAATGTTAAAGCCATTTTATCTACATAGTACATACAATTTAAAAATACTTTTCTAATACCGGATATCAACAGAAAGACATTTTAAAACATTACCAGACATATTCACATGCGATATGTACATTCTATTCATTTAACTTGTCTGCATCCAGCTGTAAAGTGTTCTGGTAGATTATTGGTTTAGAACAGTTTAAATAGCAGAAATTCAAACAAACTCCAATTTGGTTGAAATGTCTTTTCCCAAATTACTAAAATGCAGCAGAAGTTTACGGTCTATTGGGAAACTCGTATCATCTTAATCAGACTTTATTTTGTACTTAATGCATCTTCCATTTATTCAGGTTCATCTCACATCTGGACCAAACCCAGAAAATGATGCTACTGCTACATGGCTAACAGCAGCTCCAGTCAGGAAGAAATATAAGTTGTATTGACTTACAGTCTGTAACAACTGAGAATAATAGAAAAAAAAAAAAACAGAGACATGATATACTGTAAAGTTCTACAAGAGAAAACAGCACTTGTTACAGTCACAGTAACATTCTTCCGTCTTAGTACTTTTCTCCATTTTCTCTTCCCGGTGTCTCCTCCTACTCCTCCCTCCGCCTCCTTGGAGTAAATTCCTCACGCAGGCTGCTGTTTTTAGAGAATTCCCTCTTTTCTCACAGCGATGGTGGTATAGTGGTGAGCATAGCTGCCTTCCAAGCAGTTGACCCGGGTTCGATTCCCGGCCATCGCAAACCTTTTAGCTTTATCTCAGCGGAGTAAATACCTAATACTAAACAAAACATATTACCAACGAGGTTTGCAGTTATAAACTATTTCAGTACATGATAAGAATACAAACCACGTGACACCTTCAAACAAAATACTAATTAGGCAGAACAAACCTTCTATCCTTAGCGATGGTGGTATGGTGGTGAGCAAAGATGCCTCCAAAAAAGGAGAGATTTCCAGGAGGTTTAAAGAGTTTTTACAGCAGTCATTCAGAACTGTAGCGGTACATCTACAGAAATGGTGGTGTAGTGGTGAGCTTAGCTGCCTTCCAAGCTATTGACCTGGGTTAGATTCCCAGCCATCACAGTTGATGCCTTTTTAACGAAAGCTCTCCACTGAAAGTGTGGAGCCTTTTCCTCTTCCCTCTCTCTGTTTTTCTGGATGAATATTCATTATAGATTATTGTGTATTTGAGGGAAACTACTGCTCTCACCTTGATGGTGGTATAGTGTACAGTGTTGCTGCCTACAAAGCAGTTGACCTGAGTTCCATTCTCGGTCATCACATAGTTATTTTGATGTGTTTTTTTTTTTTTTGACTCATCATTCCCATTCAACTTAATGTGGAATTATCTCATGTCAGCATTATAATTTTATTGGGTGTCATGCCCACGTTGCAGCTGTCACACAAGGTGTGTTCAGGTACGACAGTTGGTGCTATACATTTAAATAAGAATTTTATTTTTTTTTTGTTTTTTTTTTTTTTTGCTTTTTTATCTCATCTTCAACAGCTCCAACACATCATTTAAACACACACACATACACACAATCCTGTCAAAAATAATCAAAAACAAAGACACAGTTTTTATGTACTGTTAATGAAACATTCTCAACTGAAGCAGAGGTGCATCTTGAAAGGTTATTTTAATTCTATGATGACAGAAAATTCAACTCTTGGGAGCAGCAGTTGGGCAATGCTATTGGCATATTTCACCAAAGATACAAAGACAGCACATAACTGCCTTTACAATGCCAAAGCATGTGTCGAAGCAGCCGTCTTTTTCTTTCTCTTTCTCTTGCTTCACATTAATGACTGAAAAACAACAAAAAAACACAACGTTAGTGGAGAGTGCTTTAGCAAAACTTTAGCAGAACTCAAATGTAACCATGGCTGTGTTTTGTTTCTTTTTTTAAAAAAAATTACATAGATTACATTACATAGATGTACAAAATTTTTTTACATAGATTACATTACATAGATGTACAGAGAGCTATCGCTATCAGAGCGCTAATGCTATCAGAGATCTATTGCTATCAGAGAGCTATCGCTATCAGAGAGCTATCAAGGTTTGTCACCTGTTACTGGAAAGGATTGTATCACTAGAATGACGCATTCAAAGTCGATAGGTAAGATAGCTAATCATTTTAGTTTGATCTCTGATTAAAACAAACATGGGCTTAATAATAAATAATAATAATAATAATAAGAAGGAGACAGATACTGACAATTGTTTTTGCAGTAACTGAATTTAAAGTAAGTAAGCAAAATACAGTTTCCTGTGTTTACGTTTAAAAAATGTTAGGAAAAGCTGGAATCATTCTATACTCCTGACATTGTGTTACATCATATCCATAATCACTTTTTAGAAATTGAATTTAAAATTAGAAACAGACAGAGTACTATTGGGTTCTGCTTCAACTTTGAAGCTGTAGCAGAACTCACTGCTTGCATTGCATGGCATTGGGGCAACCATGTACATCACATGTCAAAGTTCCAAAGTTCATATGTGAGGACTTCATTTTTGTCAATTTTCGACATTCAAGAATTTATTGCTAAGTCATTATTCACGTTAGGAACATGTTTACAACACCCTGTGTTTAAAATGTAAAGAACATTTTATATTAAAATAATATCTGTCGTATTACTAATATTGGGAGCATATTGGTTTCCGCTGCCTGCGCATTGAGAAATCCCATCATCAGACATCTTTGGTCCCAAGAGTCACCTGAAAAATAAAAGAAAACATTTCTGAAAGTGAATACTGTTTGTCTTACTGCAGTACATGTGTAAAGTGAATACACATGAGTAAGTTAAGAAGTTAATGATACTGTATATTAGCTTCAGCTTGTGAATATGAGCTCCCTCTACTGTTCTCCAGCACGGAACTCGCGCAAGATGTGATTGTCTGCAAAACTGTCAGTCAAGACAAAGACATTTGTCCTGGACATAATCACTACTTTTTTATTATTTACAGGAGCTTAAAATGTCATCGTCACTGCTTTCGGTTGATTATTTACAGGAGCTTCAAAATGTCATCGTCACTGCTTTCGGTTGTCTCTCAACACAAAAGAATAGCAATTGCTATGCTAGTTTTTATTAGGTTCAAAGTGTGACAGCTGATAGTTCCACTTTCTCTTGTCACAGTTTGATAATAAGATGAGCAACAAAGAAAAAAGAGGACTTTTATTGTCATAAACCCTAAAAAGGGTCACTGGGTTTTCCCGTTGACTGCAGTAACCCTATCTAAGTTAGCTTTAGTTTACTTACCTAGCATTAGTTTACTTACTTAGCATTAGCTTACTTAATTAAAATGAAGTAGTAATTGTGACAGACAATCATGAATTCCCGCGAGGTATATGGTGGAGAACAAGTGCACCACTGGAGAGAAATGGAGACGTGACAAACGGGAGGGTGTTTTCAAGGTTCACGTCATGATGTCACAACTGAACAAAACATTTTTTTTCTCTTTTTGAATTTGGTGTTATTTGATTTGTTATTGATTTTGATCCATCATATATTATGACGTTACTTTAATCAATTTAAAATATAGTTTTTTGTCGGGTAACAGGGGCAAGTGGAGTTTGAAAATGTCCACTTGTTCAATGTGGAAAATGACCACAAGTTGAAGGTCATTTAATTAATTGTTTTTTAAAGAAATTAAACAAAACTCAAAATAGTTGTGGTTTAGAGTTCAAACCAAATGCGAAACTGCATGAAGATTTAATAACTGGAACAATATAACGTTAAATAGTTAAATGGGGCAATGAAACATTTAGTAGAAGAAAATTGTTTTTTGTCCAACATCCCTTCCTCATTAGCTGTGACATCATTTTGATTCATTTTCCCCCTCTATTTAGCTGCAGAAATCAAAATTTGTGTGACTTCAGAAGCCATAAAAAACACATTTAATTTAAGCAATCATTACTACAATTACTACACATATATCTACACTATGTGTTGGCATTAATGCCATGGTGGAAAAATAGCAGGCAATTGCAAATATTTTATTTAGGTTTATGCTAATCTGACAATGTAATTCCAAATCACAAATATGATTCTAAAATATTTTATATAATGATTTAGAAAAAGGAGGAAGAAAGGTATCTATAATCATAGAACAAAA